CAGCAGGAAAACAAAATTTTTGAGGTTGCAGTTCAGCTGAAGTTCATGACTGCCTTCAGCCAGTGACTCCACACCTATGTGATGTTTCTTATTTTTAATGTTATCAAGTAAACAAATCAAGGTTTATTCAAATATTTCAGTGCAGTTGACTTTAAACAGAATTAGTTAACCTTCAGTTGCCCAGATACTTTTTTGTTTGTTTGTAAACCAAAACTATAGATTATTGAGTGAAATATAACCTAAATTCAGAGTCGGTTAAAGGAAAATTAAGCAGTATAGGGCAAATAAATTGCTTTTGTCATTAACAGATTTTTCACTTCATCGCTCTTGTCCTTGTCCTTGATTCCTTTAGCTCAAGGCTAAAACTTTCTCAGAGCCCTTCAGTCTATTTTGGCAGTTGTCTGAAAGAACTTCAAAAAGTAAATTGATAGATTTAGTTTTAGGTAGATATCATCTAGATAAATACCATCAGCAGGGAGAATCATATCATCCAAAGGTCTCTTTTTAACACTTTCCAATAATGTAAATCCTTAGAGTCTGACAGCATTTACTTGACCTCTTTTGTCTCTTTCAGTTTCATTGTTTCAAGATGACTTAAGCAATGCGAACTGGTATCTCATTGCATTTCATCTCATCTCAAACTTTTAGAGTTCTAATCAGCACCCCTGATTCACTTATTTTATATTATTTATCTCATTTGCTCTTCTCTTCTGTGCCTTTCTTCTTCCACTTGCTCTTCCCTCATGCCAAATGTTGATCTTCTTGTTAAGGATGTTAGGCTTCTTCTTAAGAATTCACTACCCAAATCAGCTTTTTCTCTATACACCGGTACTTCTTCTTGTCCATATTTTCCTGTAGCTTTTGTCATCTGATTGTTAATGTTAGTCGTGTTTAAAAAAAAAAAAAAATTGAAGGGGTTTTATGTGTGCTTTCTTTTTAATTTAGAAACAATTCATCCTAGTCTTGGTCATTTAAATATTTACATGGGACATATCTGAGTAACCTTTCTAGTCTTGTGTTATTAAAGCTTGTAGGAAGCATCCATGAAGTTTTCAATACTCCAGACAATGCATTAGCAACACTATATGATTGGGAAAACACATTTCTGGAGTATGTTAGAGTATTTTTAGATACTACTGTAGCTACAAGCTTATTATTATAATACATATTCATAGAAATCTGTATAAATTAACACAAAATTATTTATATAAGATTGTTATAAAATAATTATTGGCTTGCAATTGTTGTAATCTTACATGATTGTAATAATCATGTGCATACTTTTACACTTTTGTCATTATATATTTATCTAAATTCATTTCTAAATATTGTCTTGTATAACTTTTTCTAGATTTTTTTTAACACAGAGAAAAAACACAAACCTGTAGCTCCTACTTTGTTCAAACTTCCAGTCAGAAACAACACTGTCTTAGTTATTTTGCTATATTTTTCCCCCTGTCCAATTTTAATGTGTCCATCTTCTTCCAAAGTGTTACAATTTGCTTGAATAACTATAGAAATCTCCTTCTACTTCTACAAACATAAATGTTAAGTACACATAAATTTAATTCAGTGTATGATAACAGTCATGGAAAGTTCAAATTTTTAATGGTAAGAGGTATGTATTATAAGAAAATAATCTTTAGACATCGTATAAACTTCCCTGATTGCTAATTTGTTTTGTTTAATTTAATTAAAGACACATAACTGAGCAGCTAATAAAAGACTTTCTTTCCCAATCTGTTATGTTTAAATTAATGGTTCATTCTTCCTACTGTCTGGCATAAAAATATCCATTAACTTTACTCTGAACAGTTTCAAAGGCTTGTCTTGTGCTACAGGTTGAAAGACTGGAGGTTAAAGATAAACCTAGACTGTAGCCGAGGCCATTTTACATAAGCTCTGGAGCCCTCCGGTAATGTCGTAGTCCACACAACCTACTTGAGTTTAGGAGAGATGCTAAATTAAAATAAACACTTTGGTGGGAACAATTATCTTTTCAGCATTTTTCTGTAACAGCAATTGTCCAAATGTAGTTCTGATCCCAGTTAATTGAAAAGCTGTCTTTTCTACTAAGTCCTGGTTGTCCAAGAGAAATATAGGCACACTATTAATTGTAGAATAAAATGTATGCATCTGTTTTCAACCTTCCATTGACTTTTTTCACTGCACTGCAAACTTACATTAACATGACATTTTAATTACAAATTCTCAACTTGTTTCCACAGTTTTATATTAATTTTTGCTGCAGTAAGTTGAATTATATAATGATTGTAGCAATATGGTGTGAATATGTTTCATGCAGCCAAACTGTAACTCTTGTGTTTAACTCCAAAATAAATTTCCATCTAAATTTAGCTTCTTGGGAATGAAGAGTTGTGGAAAAAAAATCTTATAGTAGTTCATAAATTCAGTTGCTAAATGGAAGGTAATTGCGTTTTGATTTCTAACAGTCTCATTTCATCTTTAATGTGGAATGCTGGAATCTACAAAGTTTACTAAAAGTTATAGGAATGTTAAAATTCATTGGCAAATAACCTGGAGTTTTTAGAAATTGGCATGGTATCAGGTCTTAAAATAACAGATAGGCTAACTAGTAAAAAAAATGCAGTTAGATGTAAGTTAACTTTCTTACAGACTTCTACTATTTCATACCATAGCCTGGAATTTGAATACTTAAGTAAAGTTGAATTCCTGCATTTGTGTCAGGAAAAATGTTGAGTGTTGGATGCCTGGCGCTGATTGATTAAAATCAGTCCAGATATAAGGCATCCTCCACTCACCACAGAAAGAAAGTTTACGGATTTAAATACCATCTAGAATTTGTGTGTGAGGCAAGCTGTGTTTGTGGCAAGTCTCAGCACACAGCTGGAGTTTTAGGACACAGTCATTACAAAATACAAATTCCACTCTTTAAACACGTATAGAATTTTCTACTTGGTATGCTAGACTAGTATTGGTATTTTTTATTTTAATGTAATTGCTGGATTCCTTAGTGCTTATTTATTTCCATTTCCTCTAAAGGAAGTCAAGGTGACTAATTTAGATGTAGGCTTCTACAGTGTTGACATCTACTTCTGGTAGAAAAATTCTGCCACAAATGTCTCTCAACTTCTTTTTGTAGCCTCTGAAAAACAGATGAAGTTGGTTTGCAGAGAGTCTTCTGAAGAGCATCTCCAGCCCTTCAAGGAGAAATTAGAGGAATTCTTCCAGAAAGGTAACCTCATTTGAAAAAAAAATATTGGCAAATAGTGTAGCAGTTTACAAAGTTGTACATAGTGCAAGCTGCATTAAAGATCTGTTGCGTCCGAAAATTCCAACTTTCTGTTATGGATTATGTTCCTAATATGCCTAATATATGTTAAGAATAGTTGTTACACAAATCTTGGACATCACTTGTCAAAGATAATTGTTCCCTTGATCTCACCCATTTCCTATTGATTATTTTCTGCTTTGTTCTTTATCATTATTTGTAAACAAAATTAAAAAGATATTCATCATAGATCAAATTTATCAGAGGGCATATAAAGCTTCAAGTTTATAAGAGACTATAATACCGTTCTAGAGAAAGTCCACATACATACAGAGAAACTCCACATACATACATGAAGTAATGGCATCTTTTCTCAATACTGTGGGCTAATAAACTGACTAATTCAGATTTAAAGATTTATGTCTTATGTGAGACAGAAATAGGTGTAAGGAAGTGATTTACCGGGGTGGAGTCTGAAGACAGCAGGGGTGAGATCCAAGGTACAATTTGATTACTGGTTCAAGACAATGTAAATGCTGTTTGCTGTTGTTGAAAAGAACAGTCCCGTTCTCTCTCCTATTTCCCAGACTACGTGTTCCCAGTCACCTGCTTCTGCTGGCACCATTGTCTCTGGAGCTGTGCAAAATAGATAAGGGAATAGTTCGCCCCCAGGTTGCAGGAGTACAGACTATTTGGGTAAACAGAGTAAGCGCTGCATTTCAGACGGCTATACTAAGAATTGTTAAGAATTAAATATTACCAAAGGGCTACTATTTCTCACAGAAATCATGAACAGTTTAACAATGTACTGTCTGAGAAGTCAAGGGAACTACCTGAATCTACTAATCCAGGCAGAATGTTTACTTACTCTTAGTGATCATTCATATTGTTATAATAATTTATGAATTAGCTTAATCTTTTTTATAAGGATTGTCCTAATGTCTTTTCAATAACTTTATTTCATGAGGCTATTTAATAAAATACTTTGATAAGTAAAAACAGGATGTTTTAAAAGTAGCAATCCCTGTTAAATTGTACTGTTAAATAAATTAATGTTCTTCTTCACCCTTCTTCCAGGCCATGGAGCTCAATGGATATATTTATTTGATTTTTTTTTTCTTTTAGTTGCAAGTGTATTTGGACAGTATTAAAGCTGCAAATTTCTTGCCACAGAACTTGTAAAACAAAAAATTATAATGGAAATCTTTATGTCACTGCAGGACAGTTGTATTGTTTTTCCAACTTATTTAATTGGAAATTTTCACTTACAGTTTAACAATAACGTCAAGATTGAGATAGTACTATTTATATTTCTACAGAACCGTTATGATCTCCAGCATGCTTCTTGATCTTGCTTGCCAAAGTATTGTAGCAGATCAGTGTAATTGTATCTTGGAGAGATTAATTGATTCATTGTACTGTATGAATTACCCTGTTAGAGCAGCGCAGAAAAGAACAGTCTGTATTCTTTCCTCACTACGGGCCAGAAATGCATTAGAGCAGACCAGCCAAAATGATAGGTTCAGATGTAGATCAGGACCGTAATTCAATTTTGCCCAGGTCTTGCCAAGACCCTAACCAAATGGTGTCTTCCACAACCATATCACAGATTCTGTAATTCTTATTACGCCCTGGATCCCTAAGGACTGTTGTGGTTAGTCTGGTAGGCAGCTAAGCACCACACAGCTGCTCGCTCGCTCCCCGTGGTGGGCTGGGAAAGGGGGTCAGAAGGGTAAAAGAGAGAAAACTCATGGGTTGAGATAAAGACAGTTTAATAGGGGAAGCAAAAGCTGTGTGCACAAGCAAAGGAAAATAAGGAATTTATTCCCTATTTCCCATCAGTTAGGCAGATGTTCAGCCATTTCCAGGAAAGCAAGACTTCATTACGTGTAACCACTACTTGGGAAGGCAAATTCCATAACTCTGGACTTCCACCCCTTCCTCCTTCTTTCCCCGTATTTATTGCTGAGCACAATGTCATATGGTATAGGTTATCCCTTTGGTCAATTCAGCCAGCTGTCCCACTTGTGGCTCCTCCAAACTTCTTATGTACCCCCAGTCTACTTTCTGGGGGTCAGCATTAGAAATAGAGAAGGTCTTGATGCTGTGTAAGCACTGTTCAGCAGTAGATAAAACATCAGTGCATTATCAACACTATTTTGGTCACAAATCCAATACAGAGCACAATACAACCTGCTCTGGAGAAAGTTAATTCCACCCCAGGTAAAACCAGCAGAAGGAATAGCAAATGCATTATCACCTCAGTCCCAAAAAATAAAGGCAACACAGTACCTCCTGCAAAGCTGAGCTACTTTCTCGTAAGTGGAATATGATAAAAATTCCCAGTTGATCTTGGAAGAAGATTAGTTCTGCTTTAGAGAAATTTGCAATTTATTTGGATGGGGCTTTGGGAGACCTGGTCTAGTGGGACATGTCCCGGCCCATGGCAGGGAGGTTGGAATTAGATGATCTTTAAGGTCCCTTCCAAACGAAACCATTCTATGATTCTACAATTATAATTTCAAGTAGACAAACATATTCCTCCAAACATTTACCCTGTTTATGCCTATCGATGTGGAAATTGAGATATATTTATCTTCACCAGTGTAACAGAAAATTTTATCCTTGTGCTTGTGAATAATGTATATAAGTTTATATATTTTTTTAAAAACAGAGGATACATTCCGGCTCCG